TCCGTCCTGGGTCAGCTGCATTTTCCCACAGCACTGCAAACAGCCTTGAAGGGAGGGGAGTTAATAATCTAAAAAGAGCCTCGAGTTCGAGTTGGGGGACATGGGGGCCCCAAGAAAAGCAGAGGCCCAACATGAACTCTTTTTTCCCCTAATGTTTTAAAATCGCTTCTTTTGCTTAACATTGTATTTGTTGTTGCAACAAAGCAATTGTATGGTATTGCACGAAGCAGGGTTTTTTCCTGTAGAGCATAGCACTCTTCTTTTTTTAATTGTAGCAAAAAAGCACATACAAATCACCCTCCCAACCGTTTCCAAGCATACGGTGCAACGTTGCCCACCACGTACACACTGCCGTGCGGCAGATCCCGGCAGTGGTTCCTGCCCTGCCTCTGCACCCGCCGCAATCCTCACTTCCTCCTTCCCCCAGCAACCCCCATTGTACTTCCTTTCTCTAGCATTTTGACCACTCTAAGTACCTCTTGTAAGTGGAATCATGCAGTTTTTGTCTTTTTGTGACTGGCTTATTTCACTTAGCTTAATGTCCTCCAGGCTCATCATGTTGTAGCGTATGCCGGGATTCCCTTCCTTTTTAATGCTGAATAATATTCCACTGTATGCATACACACATTTCCTCCCCCCTCCCTCTCTCTGGAATCTCCAGGGGGCCGGGCCTGGTGGCGCGCAGCGCACGACTCGGTGCACGGGCAGAGCGAGGCGCCTGAGCAACAGACTGAGCTGTTCCTGAGTAAGTGAGCGTGTGGCGTCGCTGCTGCAGAGAAACCCTGAACCCCCCACCCCAGACCAGCCCCGGCCTCCCCAACTCCCTCAGTTCTCCCGTCGTCTGCGTCCCCACTGGACTGTCAGCTCCCGGGGCAGGGACAGCAGCTATATTACCCACTCTTTCCAGAGCCTGGCTTGGAGTAGGTGCTCAGTAAATAATGAATGAAAAACAAACCCAGGCAAAAATCTTCACTGATCTACATGCATACCCCAGAGGGTCCTCCCAAACTTTCCCACGGCCCCAGGCGGGCGGCTCTAGGGGTGGAAAGAGAGCAGCGTCCTGCCTTTGATGCGGACGCTCCCCGCTTAGCAGCCGCGTGGCTAGGTACAGCCCTCGTGCTCCCTGAACGCCGAGGGACAATGTTGTGAGGATCAGATGAGATTCCGCCCGTAACGCAGAGCCCCGGGCGTGTACTGAGCCCACTAAGACCATCTATTGTAATTCCTTGGGCGACTCGGGGGACTCGCGCTGTCTCGCTGAGCCCAGGTGTGGGTGTGCGCACGGCCCCTCCGGTTCCCCGCCTCATCCCACGCAACGGAGCCTCACACCAGCCAGCACAGAAAACGTTGCTTTATTACTGCGTCTGCCAACACACGAGGAGTGCACGGGGCGCCTTAAGACACGAGCCCTGGTGGGGCCGGGGTCCGGAAGCCCCCAGGAGTGAGCGGGACAGGATGGGGCCGGGAGCTATGCAGCGGCGGCAACACAGAATCATGCAGGGCACGGCGGGCTCTGGCCACGCCGAGGTGACCACACATTCTATTGCTCGTTGAGGGTCGCGAACATGGACAATGTACAAAAAGGAGAAATAGGTCTTTGCGTTAATGAAAAATACATTTTTTCTCTACAAAGGAATCTTTTCTAATACAAGAAAATAAATATTGCAACATAAGCCAAAAATAATTTAAAATTGCTCTTTTCAATATATTTTCAATATTTCTCTTGTATATTAACAAATGGCACATCACTTTCTTTGAAACAAAGACAGAAGGAGTCTCCTCCTGTGACATTCATATCACCCCCCACCACCCCAGCGAACCGATGCGGGGCACGAAGTATCTGTGCGTCTGAGGGAGGCGGTGGCAGGAAGTACCTTAAAGAACAACCAAAGGTCCCAGACTCCAGCCCTGGCTCTTTGGCCAATGTGGCCAGCTGGGCCAGGGGCACGGGAGAGTGGCCTCCCCAAGGGCCTTGCTACAGGGATCCAGATCATTCTCCAGAGCTTTGGCCGTGGGCAGAGCTTGGCCACATCTGGCAGTGAGCAAGGAAATGCCAAGTCCAGCTGCTGCCAATGTCTGTTGGAGTCGGGCAGCCGGATCTCTCGGAATCGCCCCAGCCAAGGCCCCCGTGTGCCCCTCCCCCGCACACGGACACGCACTCACACGGACGCACCCCCAACAGTCCGACACCCGCGTCTGGAAACCCGGGCAGCTTCTCTGAGGAAGTGGGGGCCCTCTCATTGCCAACGCTCACACACCGTCACCGAGGCAGAGCCCAACTAATAAAATAAACCCTTTACCTTTCTTCTCCTCATTTGTCTCAAAATACATTTATGATACATAAAAATACTTTCCTTGCACATTTTCCTTGGTCATGTGATGAGGGGGATGGCGGCGGCACGCACGGGGGACGACGGCCGGGTGAGTTGCAGAGCAGCCCCCCTCCGAGGAGGAGGAGTTGAGTGTGCACAGATGGGTCAAGACCTGCCTCGGCCTCTGGCCTGGAAAAGGAACCAGCCTTGGTCTCAGGGGCAGCAGAGCCCTCTACACAGTGGACAGTGGGCTGGAGAAAGAGTGAAGCGGCCGTGCCTAACGGGGGGCAGGCTGGGGGCCGGGAGGCCATCTTTGTCCTCCTTGCAGCCTGGTGGACAGCCTGGAGGTGGAGACAGCTGCCTGGGAGAGACTGCTGTGGGGCCTGGCCTAGGAGTGAAGGTGCCCCCAGCCAGCCGGCCTAACAGATCCTGGGCTCTGAGGACGCAGGCCCTGGGTGTAGTCCAGTCCAAAGCAACAGCCAGTGGAGAAGAGGGACCAGAGTCTAGACGCAAACTTGAGCAGAGACTCTCTGAAGAATGCCGGCTGCCCTCTCTGCCTGCCCAGGCCAGGCCTGGCCCTGGCTGCAGAGCGGGGCTGCCTCCTGGAAAGAAGCCAGACTCGCTGCGTCCTCTCCCTAATTCTCCACCTGCCCCGGGACGGTGTGAGGGGGGAGGGGGCGAGTGCTGGCACTGCTTGATCCTGAGCTTCCCGGCACCCTGGACCCTGGCAGGGTTTGGTTGTTCTTTAAGCTCACCCCTTTGCTTCCTGCGGGGTCAGACCAGGCAATGCAGCCTAGACGAGGCTGTGGCCCGAGTGGACCCAAAGCACAGGGAAGGAAGGTCTGTTCAAAGGCAGTAAACGGAGACCGGGGCGGGGACGCCGACACTGACGCTGCACTGGTCACGACTACCGAGGCGGGCAGGGGACTAAGCTCTACGTGGGAGCTCGTGCCATCCCGACACCCAGAATCCTCGAAGCCCGCCCCACTCCCTCGAGTCCACTTGGACTAGACAGCTTCCTCTGATCCTCTGAACTCAGTCGTTATCTTTGTTTCCTGTTTTGCTGAAATTCACATGAAATCGAGCGTTGATGACAATGCCACGGCGTACCTTGACAGTTCTGGAGTCAGGGGTGGGTGAAGGTCAGGCCGTTCCCGTCCTGCTTATTTGCTTTGTGTGTTGGGGGGGGTGGGACGGGGGACCACGTGGTAAAGACTTTTCCATGCTGGTTTCACCGTCAGGACCCCCTCTGTGACTCTCAGAGTGCGGGGAAGCTCGCAGGGGGCCTAGCCCAGGATCTGAATCCGACACCCAGGTACAGTCCAGCGGCAGAAAAGCATCCTCTTGCAAGAGCTCGGGCTCTTCTCCTTAAGTGTGTGCAACGGACGTGTTTCTATACCTTGTTGCTAAAGAACTCCATTTTTAAAAAAGTCCAAGTGACAAGTTGTCAGGTCCAGGCTGTGCTGTATTATGGTCAAAATATTCTTTGGCATCCACAGAATGATTCGACTGGTTCACTGGGCTTTTGCAAGGTTCTTGTTGGAGAAGTTCTGGCTTTACCAGTGGCGGAAGTGACCCAGGAGTAATTCGTAAAAGAAAAAAAAATGCTTTCACTGAATTCCTTTCATATGTTCCCTGAGCTATCACCCTGGGGCCACTCCACTGCAACTCTTCAGACAACTACCTGGGACTAAGGGCGGGGCGGGGAAGGCAGGACCCTGGCGGTGGGGAGGGCACGGCGGGGAAAGGGGGTAAGGCTCGGAGGAAGGGAGGATCACAGGAACGTCCAGCAAGACTTACAGCGGTCCCAGCGGGCCAACACTGGCCCGCCCTGGGCCCCGGGATCCCACTGCTTGTTGGAAGGAGGCGTTTCCAAAAGGAAACCAAGGAAGAAGCTCATCTCTTAGCAGGACTAGGAAACTTGAAAAGGCAAACGGTCTCGTCTCATCAGCTCTGTCTGGGAGTGACCAGACTTCAGCCGACACTGGCCCCGAAGGAAGGAAGGAAGGAAGGAAGTTGGAGCCTCAGAGTGATTCTCTGCGGTGGGCTGGTCTGAGCCCCACGACCCCGTCTGGGCACTGGCCCTCCCTGGCAGCCCCCACCTGCGGTGGCAGCTGGCTGTTCGGGAGTCCCCTGAGTAAACGGCGCAGCTCAGGAAGGATTCCGGGAACCCCTTCCCGGAGCCACGGGCTGGGCGCTGGCAGGGGCGGAGCAGCGGAGGAGGGAGGGGGCGGGCGGGCCTCAGAAGAGTGGGTCGATCGGGACCAGCTCCGGTTCCGCTGGAACCAGCAGGCCCCCTGTGCCCCTCAGTGCTTTCTCATAGAAGCTCATTGTGCTTGTGACAGTGAGTAGACTCTGGCCGGGTATCGCTTATTATGCTTCCTTGGGGATCAGTGGAGTGCAGCAGGACCCCCCAAATGGGCCCCAGTGGGATTTGGGGGCAAGGCGGGGTGGGCCCTGCACTGGCCCATCTGCCATGAAATAATGCCCAAACGACAGTCTGTGTCAGCCGGTGGCAGCGGGCTGGAGTCCTGAGCTCTTCTCCCCCTTGCCTGTATCAGCCAGGAGCCCGGCAGTGCCACACGGGCAGGGGCAGGGATGGTGCACGGGACCCGGCGTGGTCCTCGCGGCCAGAGCCGTGGAAGGAATCCTAATGTCCTGGGCCAGCACAGAGGAAAGACAACAGTGTAGAATTCAAAACTCTCTCTATATTAAAAATAAAACCACGACAGAGTGGCAGCCTCGAGGGTCTGGGACACTCGGCAGAGATTGGAAATGGCAGTTGTGACTGGGCTGAGGCCTTGTGGGGGGACCAGGGCAGGGCCCAGGGCAAGGATGGGGTGAGTTAGGAGGCTAGGACCCCCATGCGGACCACTTCCTCAGCCCCTGCCTCCCGGGGACCTCGCTGCACCCCGCTGTCCTCAGCCTCTACGTCTGAGTCGCTCATCTCCCCGTCAGAGAAGTACCCATCAGTCTCGGTGTCAAAATGTAAGCTGACCTTTGGCCTCTCGGCTGCAGCAGAAGGCGGCCCAGTCCCGGCGTCAGGCCTGGCACCCGGCGATCTCCGGGTTACCTTGCTCTCTCGAGGTGGCCGGAGCCGGCCCAAGGGCTTGGGGCTCGCTGTGGGGCCAGGCACTTGGACGTTTGAGTCAGCAGCCGCTGCGGCTGCCTCGTCCGGGGTCTCAGGGGCCAGCAGTGGGGGGCTTTCAGGGGCTGCTAGGATGGGACAGTCCCCAGCTGCAGGGCTGGACGGCAAGTGAGAAGACGTCCGCCGTGGTGGCTTCCGGGTGGGAGGCCCCTGGCCCCCCCTGCCGCTGCCTGCGTCCTGGCCCCAGGGCTTCTTGGGGGGTTTGTCGGGAGTCGGTCTGTCTGGAGTCGTCCGGGAACCGGGCCCGTCCTGTGGCGGTGGCGGTGGCGGCTTCTTCTTGGCAGGCAGGCGGGTGCGGCCGCGGGCCTTCCTGGCGGGGTCTCCCGGTCGCAGCGAGGGGTCCCGCATAAAGCTGAGCAGCGTCTCCTCATCCTGTAGCAGCTCCTCCGACAGCAGCCCCGGGGCGGGGTCCTCGCGGTGCCCGTTGTTCAGCGACCACTCGCTCATGGCCATGTTCTCCGCTGTGATCTGCACCGACTGCGCCAGCCAGCTGTTGAAGAAGGTCCCGTCGATGGGGAATGGAGTGGACAGGCCTGGCCGAGGGGAGAGAGGAGGCAGGTGAGTCGCTGGCACCCTCTTTCAGGAGCCCTCTGACCTCCACGACACTGTGCTGGACGCGGGCCAGCTGCCTTCCCCTGTCCGTCCCTCCTGCCAGCACCACCAGAAAGGAGGGGCCGCAGCATCTACCCTTCCCCCCGAGAAGAACGTTCTACCCCCAGGACTGGCTTCCTAATTTGGGGGGTAAAGTACATGTAGGCTCCTTGATCAAATACTACTAAGAATTCCAGGGTGGACTGCTAAAGCAATTCGAGAATGTGTCTAGCAGGTTTTCTGGTTTTTACCAGAATGCTCACATGGGGGAAAAATTCAAGGTGGCGGCAGCAGAGGATTAAACCAAGTGCAGGGGCCTGTGCAGCCGCACAGGTTGCACACCCATAGAGCTGGCATGCCACCACCCCCCTGCTGGAGGGGACAGGGAAGGTGGAAAAGGCCCTCCTGGGATTTTATGAGCGTTTTCTCCCACGGTGGCCAGCAAAGAGCTTGGATAAACAGGTCAGGCATGAACAGGCGAAGCAAGGTGCCTGGGTGGAAGGTCCCTCTTGGATATCAGGGCCCTTTTGCCTTTACTGAAGGCTTGCAGGGGAGGGGGACGCAGCTGTGAGGCTCAAGTTTTCCCCTTCTTGAGACTGAAGGACCTATAGGATGACCTGCGGGTTCTGTGCCAGATGTGAGGTCTGGAAGGGGACTTCCACCCGCTCCCTGAGAAGTGCTCTGGGGGAAGCGTGCGGCTTTCTGGGAGCGGCTCTGCAGGAAGGAGACCTGGGACAGTGAAGAGGGCGGGCAGGGCCAGGCCACCGCTCTGGGTCTCCCTGGGTGGCTCCAGGAAGGCTGCTGGTGTTGAGGGAAGGGCCATTTGGAGGATTCTGGCAGAGTGGGGCAGGGATGAGGATTTCCGATGGATCCTCTCCTCCCAGTGTGGGGCTGGCCTGGGGCCCTCTGGGAAATGCACCCAACACCCAGGACCCCGGTCAGGGGGATGAGCGGGCAGTTCCCCAGCAGCCTGGGTCCAGCTGCCATCCAGGTCTACAGAAGGGGCATCTCCCAGGATGTCAGACGGGGCCCCGAGACCCGTCTCCTCGCGGGGTGGAAGGTACGAGCATCTGGGCAAGGGAGGGCCTGGTTCCCCCTTGAGCCTCAGTCTCCCACTCTGCGCAGGGGGCCTTGCGTGGGGTCAGGTGCAGGTGGGAGCCTGAGCCCACGGCCCGCCTGGCGCTTACTCACCCAGCTGCCCCAGCACTGAGTCGGGCCCCGGCTTCACTTTCTCTTTCTTCTCGGGGCTGTCCTTGGGGCCCTCGCGGCCTTTTCTCTTCGAGTCACTCTTCTTGCCCTTCGATCTCCTCCCAGACCTCTCTGCATCAGGGAAAGTGAGGGGAGGGAAATGGTTACCCAGAGGGCCTCAGGCAGAACCAGATCCCAGCCCAGGAGAACTCGATCAGCCGGTGCTCACCCTGCAGGGAAGCCAGTCGGAGCCGGGGGACAGCTGGTGCGGTGGGGAGGAACCGCCCACTGCTGCCTTTGGGGCTCTTGGGGTGGGCACAGGGTCACAGGGAGAGGCCCTTGCAGGACGGGGACTCAGTCTGACCCACACGACCGACAGGCCTTGGGAGAGAGCCCTGGTGGGTGGGAAGGACGGCGGAGCTGAGCGGGGACAGGCAGGGCCTGGACTGCCAGGCCGAGGAGCTGGGCCGAAGGCGGAAAGCACGCAGTCTGCGGAGTCGAGAGGCCTGGGTTCCATTCCCGACACCAGTCTGCTTCCTTCAACAGTCTCCTGCCTCGGTCTGCCTGCTGGCTTTCGCGGTCAGGCGGTGGATGGAGGCTCAGGGGCCCCACCCGGCCCTCGCGCCCTTTCAGTCCATGACCATGTAAGGCGAGGGAGCGCGGGAGGGACATGTGGGGGGCCCGGCTGCTGTGAATCCTCCCAGCTTCTCAGCCTGAGGTGGGGGGACTTTCCCAACAAGAGTTTAAGAGAAGGTCAAGCATGTGGCCCCTGCTGGGGAATCTTCCCAGCTCTGCCGTCAGTTCCCTGTGCAACCTCAGGCCGGGCCTCAGTCTCCTCATCTGTAACCTGGGCCCACAGCCTAGTAACTCTGATTCTTTTTTCTTTTTTTTTGAGACAGGGTCTCACTCTGTTGCCCGGGATAGAGTGCAGTGGCGTCAGCCTAGCTCACAGCAACCTCAAACTCCTGGGCTCAAGTGATCCTCCTGTCTCAGACACCCAAGTAGCTGGGACTATAGGTGCATGTCACCACACCCTCGCTAATTTTCCGTTTTTTTGTAGAGACGAGGTCTCGCTCTGTTGCTCAGGCTGGTCTTGAACTCCTGGCTTCAAGTGATCCTCCTACCTCGGCCTCCCAAAGTGCTAGGATCATAGGTGTGAGCCGCCGTGCCCGGCCCCAAAGCCTAGTTCCTTGGAAGCAGGCTCCTGAGGCCCCCACTGCGCACAGAACACAGGTGACCCTAGTTTCCTCCCAGCCTCCCTTTAGGCGTACACCTTCTGCCCAGCCGCAGCCATTCCAGCCTCCTTGCACTTTCTCTACCGAGACACGCTCTGGCCTCTAGGTCTTCAAGTACGCTGTTTCCTGTCCTGTCCTTCAGCTGGTTCAGCTCACAGGCCAAGTGTCACCTGCACCGAAGGCCTCCTCCAGCCCCCAGGCCAGACAGCCTCGGCGGTGTGCTCACAGCCACGCCCCGGCCGCGTGGGCACCAGCTTTGGGCAAACCGGTCTTCTCTCCAAATGCCCTGTCCCGAACAAAGGGCTGGCTGTTGTCGACACTCGAGACAAGCAGTGCAAATGTCCCCAGACCCAATGTGGGGAGGACTCTCTAGGCTCTGGGCCATGCTTCTGGAACCCTGTGCCTGAGGGCACTGCTTGCGGCGTGCCACTCTCTGCTTCCTTGACTCCGGGCACCTTACGCAGGCTTCTGCTTCTGCAGGTGGATGTGTGGCCACAGCCAAGCGCTAGGAAGCCTGAGCTGTTGTTCCAGCATCACTGCTTCCAGGAAGTCATCCCTGATACCTCTGTCATCGCACTGGCAGGGCCTGCAGACCCGGGATACTGCTTTCCTTTGTTTTGCAAGGGGTGAGCTCCACGAGGGCAGGAGTGGAGCTCAGCTAGTGCTGGCCAGATGAATAAACAGAAGACAGAGAGCCTGGAAGGCTCCGGCAGAAGCCAGGAAGCTGCCATAGTCTTTGGTGCATGGCAAGCTCTGCGTGGCTGTCACCTGCCCTGACCCAGCCCTTGAGCTTGGCACAGCTGGTCTCCTAGGCCAGAGTGGGTGGCGATCCCAAGGGCAATGCAGGCAGCTCAGCGCCGAGGCTAGGGGGCAGCAGAGGCCCCACATCTGCTCCAAGGGTGCCGGCAGCTCTTCTCCCTCCTCTCGCTCCAGGCCCAGCCTGACCCAGAGGTTGAGCTGGCAGCAGCAGGCCCTGGCTCAGAAACACTCTCCAGCCAGCTATTTCTGCCGCACGTAAATCCAACATTAGGACACAGTTTCGGGGGTTAAGCATTGCCCTTCTTAACACTCCAGGAAGGGCCCCATGTCTGGCAGTATCTACAACTAGCAGACAAGATCAACATCAGAGTTTCTTTGGTCTTTGATTTCCAGACTCGTTAAACACACGTAGCGGCAAGAGAGTAGGAAAAAAGAGAGGAGAACGCCGCTGACGCGGGGCCTGAGTCCCATCAGACGGGGCCAGAGGGAGAACACACAGGCCCGTCCCATCTCTGGGGCAGCCGCCTTCTTCAGCAACGACGCCCACACTCGCCAGCCTCGGCCCTTCCTGCGTCAGCACCCGCGCAGAGCCGCGGGGACTTCAGGCCTGCACCCGTTCCCCGCGGTCTGTCCCGACGCCGTGCCCCACTGACGCGGAGAGCTCCCTGCGGGCAGCCCCGATGCCACGTTCCGACCTCTGGCTCCTCCCGACCGACACGCAGCCAGGACCTGGCAGCCCCCACCGGGGCCTAACTAACTAGAGGGCAGGGGGGGGCCAGTGGCCGCTGGCCCTGCGCATGCGTCCCACCAGGCTCCGAAGACACACGTTCCTTGGGCCCCAGCCCGGCAGGAGAGCGCAGAGCGGCCGCGTGGCGGGGAGGGCGCCTACCTCGACACAGGTCCTGCTCAATCAGTTTCATCTGCAGGTGGAATATCTGCTCCTGGAGTTTGCAGAGGGCGTGCTTCGTTCTCTCGCGCCTTGTCACCATGTAGCACAGGTTTCTAACCTGAGGAAACACAAGAGAGATTTTCCACCTTACTTGCGGGCAGCCACCCCACACCTCCCAGCCCCGGGGGCCTCGCCACTGGTGAGGGCAGTGCCCGGGGCACAGGCCGCTGCCGCCGCTTATCCTGCCCAGAACATCCGGGAGTCAGTTCCTGACCCGAGCGCGTCCTCAGCCCACGCCCCACGTCCGATCCAGAACACAAAACACAGGGCCAAGCACTGTCTCGGCCTCACAGTTGCTGGCTGGGCCGGCGTAGCCGGGGAGAGTGTCTGGTAGCTCAGCCAGCGACTCCACCTTCCTTCCTCTGGGCCTTAACTTCGGGCCAGGTCAGCCATGCTGCCTCCTGAGGCCCAACGTGGTTGTTCTCTAAATCCACAGTGCCCAAGGCTTGTCAGGGTCTCCCCAGGTCACCAAGCTCATCCCTCTGCCTTCCGTCCAAGGCTGTCTTTCCCAGCAAAGAAACTTCAGACACCAGCACCATGGCAAGATCTAACACGCGTCCTGAGCTACGAATGGCGTCGGTACTGGGAGCCCAAGAAAGCTCCAGCAGGAAAGCTTTGAGCAGACAGGCAGTCCTGACCCACCTGCACCCAGCCCGCGGCGGATCCACGTCTACTGCGCGTTTGGGACCCGAGCCAGGCCTCTGCTGCCAGGGCTCCCACATCCATGTGGCCACATGCACTCGGCCGCAGTGACAGAACCCAGCAGGAAGGGCAGAGGTCTCTCTGACTACCTTAGGCCAGCTGGAAAGAGCCCCTAGGGCTTTGGAGACCAGCTCACTTAGCCCACAGGACGAGGTCCCAACCTCCAGGTGGTCTGGAAGCACTGAAGGACAGACCATGCCGCTGTCCACCGGGCACCCTGCCCCACTGCGCCAGCATTCGCCAGCTCCTCTCAGGGCAGGTCACACTTCTCACACTTCGGGGGCCAAGACTGGGCCCCCTCCCTGAGACACTTCCTTGCTCTGGCATCATCTTCAGCTCAGGGTGGAGCCGCCAGTGTCAGGGAAGCAGGCCGAAGCTGCAGAGCTGGATCCCAGGTCCCACCAGGGGCTTCCCAGCTGGGGCTCTGTCTCTGGTGGCTTCCATCTTCGAAGCCGAGTTCAGTATTCATGTGCTTAAGCTTCCCGGGGTGACCTCTGGTTCCAGAACCTGCTGACACGACCACCATTTCTCCTGGCCTGGAGATACCATAACTGGACCTCTCTCCTGGGCGTGGGACATTCCTTTCCTTCCGGAGCCTGGTTGTGAAGAAGGTGCACCCTGGTCTTAAGCCTCTGCAGGACGGGCTCTCTGTGGCAGTCCACGCCGGGCTGGCGCGCCCGGCCTACCCAGAGAGCACCAGGCCACGGCTCCACCCATCCTGCAGAGAGCCCAGCTCTAGCCCACTGGCATGGCCTCCTCAGGACCCCCGTTCAACCGGCCCACTCCCCACACAGCCCTAAGCACCAGTTGTAGCTCTGTGAACTCGTGCTGTGCGAGGCCCTGGCTCGAGGCCCAGGCCCTGGCCCTGGCAGTTAGCAGCGCTGCCAGGGTCCCTTTCTTCTTGGGGACTGCTGCCCAGCAGGCAGGTGGATGCTGACCCCCTTACAGGACCAGGCAACCCCAACCTAGACCTGGGGCGGTGAGCACGGCTTCCTGGACGAAGAGGCAGCGTGGGAGTGGGAGCGGATCACACAGAGGGGAAGCCAGGACAAGGCCAAGTGGGTGAGACACAGAGCCAGGCCTCGTGGTTTGAGAGACAGGGGACAGGGAGCAGTGAGGACAGGCTAGGCTGGCGAGGGAGAGGGGGCAGGCTTTGAGGCCTGACCAAGCCAGGCCAGGGGCAGTTGCAGAGGGTTTTGGCAGAGTGGCAAGTGCCGAGACATGGGACTCATCCTTGGTGACGCATCTCCTCTTCCTGTGCGCCCACAGCCAGCCCACCATCACGGCCACCGGCCTGTCCTCGAGAACGACCCCTTCCCATCGCTCCCTCCACCTCTCACATGGACAGGGGGCCATGCTGACCCTCTGCTGTCCCAGAGCAACCTCCTTGAGATGCAGATCAGACCCCTTCCCTCCTGCTCTCAGACTCTCCTCCAGTGGCTTCTGTGCTAGGTTGAATAACAATCCCTCAAAATCCATTTTTGTTGAGAGCCTCGGAATGTGATCTTATTTGGAAATAGGGTCTCTGCTGATGTGATTAGTTAAGATGGGGTGACGCTGGATTAGGGTGGCCCTCAATCCAATATGACTGGTGTTCTTATAAAAGGCCACGTGAAGACACAGGGACCAACGCGCAGGGAGAACGCCACGTCACAGCAGCGGCGGAGACCGGACTGATGTCCACAAGCCAAGGAACACCGAGGATTTCTGACAAGAGACAGAAGCCGGGCGAGGGGCAGGGAGGAGACTCCCCCTTGGAGCCTCCAGAAGGAATCAACGCTGCCGACACCTGGATTCCGGCCACTGAGCCTCCAGAACTGCAAGAATGCGTTCTTGTTAAGGCCACCTAGTTGGTGGCACTTTGTCAGAGCAGCCCTAGGAAACTAACACAGCTTCCTTCTTACCACACTTTTCAAAGTCACAGCCCAGCCCCAAGCCTCGCCCAATCTGACCACCCACCGTCCCTGCACAGCTCACGTCGCACAGCCCCCGGCCTCTTCTTTCTGCGTCCAGCCACGTCTACCCCGGGGTGTTGGTACAGGGTCAGCTCTTGGCCTGGAATGTTTCTCTCCCGCCTTCCCGGGGCTGGACCTCGTCCTTCAGGTCTTGGCTCAGATGTCACCTCCAGAAGCCCTTCCCCGACCAGCGCATCTAAGCAGCCCAGTATCCTCCTCCCCTCACCTTGAACTGTTTCCTTCCGAGCAGTCCTGTGGGCGTAGTGGGGATCAGAGAGGGGGATGGAGTCACGGCTATTTGGAGGTCAATAAACAAACCAGTCATGCCTAACCTAAAAGCAATTCAGTCGAGGTACAGCTTTTTAAAAATTTCCTGAAACACGCCATCCTGGAGTTTACTCCACCCTCACATCTACCCGCTATAAGGTGAGGAGTCAGGCGAGTCGCGGCTCAGAGCTGGGACATGAACGAGCGTGAGCTGAAGCACAGCCGCGCCCGATCACTGCCCGTCAGAACGCAGACGGCGGTGGTTTGTCTCCCACCTGACGCCACAGAGCAAGGTTCCTCAAGGCGCCCAGGTGAGTGCCCCGTACCGCGGTCACTGGGCTGGCTGGTTAAAACCACAGAGTCCCAGGCCTGAGGGACATCAAACTCTGAGGTGGGGGGACCCTCAAATCTACACTTTACACAGCACTGTGCACTCTGAGCGCTTCTGCCCTGGGCAGGGCCCTCGAAGGTGAGGGGCAAATGAGTCAGACGATTCGTGATGGTATAAGAAAAAAATATTAGAATTAATATTGACATACTTTTTCCTGACCCTATCAGAAATTCTGCTTATGTCTGTTTTATAACATGCAGCGGTAGGTACGAGTGAGATGTTAAAAATGCAACACATCCTCTTAACTGACAGCAGCACACGGCACAGTCGGTCCTGTCTGGGGGTTCCTGCCGTGCAGGTGAGAATAACGCTTCCCTGTGAGAATACGACAATCTCAGGTGGGTACACTGGTCACACTGCGACCCCCGGTCCCTTTTTTAAAAGCCTCACCCTGGAATCATCAAGTACTTTTCTAGTTTCTCCAGAGACACTTGGTAACATTAAGTCTTAATATTAACACATTTTACGGGATGCTGTACAATTCCTTCACCATGATGGCTTTTGGGGTCAAAGTAACGACCGCACTGTAGACTCTCGCCAAGGCTAACAGGCCCCTTCCATCGTCATTTGATTTTCTGATTATAAGGAGAAAACAGTCTCATTTAAAAAAACCTAACAACCGGGCGCGGTGGCTCACGCCTGTAATCCTAGCTCTCTGGGAGGCCGAGGCAGGCGGACTGTTTGAGCTCAGGAGTTCGAGACCAGCCTGAGCAAGAGTGAGACCCCGTCTCTACTAAAAATAGAAAGAAATTAACTGGACAACTAAAAATATATAGAAAAAATTAGCCGGGCATGGTGGCGCATGCCTGTAGTCCCAGCTACTCGGGAGCCTGAGGCAGGAGGATCGCTTGAGCCCAGGAGTCTGAGGTTGCTGTGAGCTAGGCTGACGCCACGGCACTCTAGCCCGGGCAACACAGTGAGACTCTGCCTCAAAAGAAAAAATAAATAAAATAAAAAAACCTAAGAGTATAAAAATGGATCAGGTAGAAAAGTAGAAAAGTCTTCAATCACTAGGTCAGGGAGTGGTAATACACACAGGTTTTACATTTCGATGAAATTGTTTTGATATCAACAAATTTTGCAGGGAGCGGCTGGCGTGGGGCAGAGAAGGGGAGCAGGGGCGACTAAGAGACCGCGACGGGGAAGGCGTGGGAGAAGCAGGCACGCAGGGAGCAGGGGACCAAGACATTACAGGGACCTGGTCAGAGCACCACAGGGAAAGGATCTCAAGACCAAGGGCAGGTGTGACTGTGGCAGCCACCGCCGAGGGCTGGGGGACAGGGCTGGAGAAGCGGGAGGGGAGGCTGCTGGTGGCCCAGGTGTGGCTCTGGATGTGTCAGGCAGGAGGGGGAAGCCTGGCCAGAGTGGGAAGCCACCAAGCAAACACCGTGAGGGACAACAGGAAAGGTGAGACCGGGATGGGAGCGGAGGGACCCACGACTAGAGGGACACAGGCAGGGAGGATTTGCTTCTGAAGACAGGAGAGGCTGAACTAGATGACGATACTGGTGGGAGAGGAGGAAGAGACAGAGTCCAGTGCTGCAGGGAATGGACTGGAAAGAGATCCCTGGGGGAAGAGGGAGGAGACGGGAGGGAAGGACAGAGGGTAGCTCCAGAGGCCTGTGCTGTTGGGAAGTTAGCAGGCAGGAGGTTGGGCTGTCTGCTGAGAGGGGGCGGGGCAGGGATGGAGGCCCCCGGCATTCCTTGGGGCTGCGTCCTGACACCTGCTGGCTGTGGGAGCTCTCCTGGGGGGCTGGGCGGCCCCAGGCAGAGAGTGGTTCCCACTGCACGAGGCTCTGCCGGGGCAAGGGAGGGGGCAGCGGGGGGGAGTGTGGGGACGCAGGACAGAGAAGGGCGGAATGCCTGGCAGACACCTGAGCAGAACAGGAGCCTGCAGTCCCCAGGGAGGGTGTGGGGATCGCTGGGTGACCATCGCGGTGGTGAGCAGGCCCGGGTGGGCAGGGGCACTGATGGGCTGTGAAGTCCTAGAGACGGGAGGTGTGGGGCTGAAGAGCCAGCGGTCTGCAGGCCGCAGCTGCCCAGGACAAGGCAGGCTGTGTGGGGCACGGGGTGTCCAATCTGGACAGAGTGAGCAGGGTGCGACCAAGTGACCAGGAGGCAGGCAGTGGGCGTCAGAAGAGGGCAGGACCCACTTCTCGCCCAAGCCTCTCTCCTTGCGGGCTTCATCCCCGGCAGGTGTGTGTCTCAGAGCTGCCTCCACCCCCTCGGCCTCCGCCTCAGGCCAGGTCAGGCTCTCAAACTCCTGGTGACAAGATCCAGGGCCACAGGCAGCGCGTCCCTGCACAGCCCGCCCGCCAGCGCGGTTGCTAGGGGACACCAGCCGGTGCATGTCGGCTGATGTCAGCGCTGCGATTTTTTGTCAGCTGTGAATAACTCCGGAGGCTGCGGTGGCCACGCCTCCCCAAGCTGTCCGCTGAGGCCAAGGCCTACGGCTGAAATTTTAGAAAAGCACATGGGGGCTGAACAGAAAATGGGATTTCATGCTGGTGGCTCCTGCTTTTCTCAGCAAAATCCCCGCTTGGCCCAGGGCCGAGGGCAGGGCCGGGGATCGGTCTGGGAGGATGCTATGCTTCCCAGGCCCTAGCCCGGGCCTGCCCTTTCGGTCCTCCGTGGAGCCACCCTCAGAGCGCAAGCCTTGGCCTCCCTTCCTCTAAGAGCCACACTGCTCGTGGGGCCAGGGCGGTGACAGTCACAGCCGGCAGCGGAGGGCGCTGTGCTAAGCTCTGTCTCCCACTCTCACGGCAGTGAGATCCTTGTTCCCATTCTACAGACAAGGAAACTGAAACTCAGAGAAATGGAAACTGAACCCAGAGGGCGCAGAGCCGGGAGTGCCGGAGCTGGATGCAAGGCCAAGCTGCCCGAGATCAGCCTCGGGCCCTACCCCGATTTCCGATGAATCCGGCCCACGCTGGCTTCGTGCCCAGTCATGGGCTGGATGCTCTCGCCGTTGGCACCGGGCTGTGGCTAGAAACTGGGCCACCGACAGCCATGGGTCTTTGCAGGAAGCCGCCCCCACGACACAGTTCTCAGCGCTGCCCATTCATTTACTCAAGTCACCAACGCCTGGCTGCGAAAGGCCCGCAGGCCGTGGTGCCAAGGGGGGCAACCTGGCTCGTGGCTCTCCTGGCCCTGCCGGGGCTGTGCGTTCCCTCCCCTATCGGGAAGCATGAGACAGGACCCCCCCGAGCCTCAGGGGGCTGCACGGTCTTCAAAGTCGGCCCTGCTCCCTCTTCTTAGAGTGGGATGGGTTACACTGGGCTTGGGAGGGCTCTGCGCCCCTCCCCTCAAGGGGTCTGGGTGGCAGTTCTGGTTGCCCTGGAACCCCAGAGCCTGCCAAGTGCAGTCCCAGGCCCCACCTGTACCAGCTGACACTGGGGTGAAAGGGTTGGAGGCTGACACAGGGCTGCTGTTGCCCAGGAAATTTACAGGGTAGCGAACAAGCCAGCATCTCTTCTCCTGCTAACGCTGACCCTGCCCCCGCTTCAGGTCCAAATTCAAGCTCGCACCCTGGGAATGAAGCTCCTCTAAGGCTTCCTGTCACCCTCTCTCTCCGAGCCACGGCTTCCCCATCTGGTCAGGAGGGCTGGGACGCTCTTCCTCAAGTCTCTTTTTCCAGAGTGACGACTACAGAAGTGAGTCAGCCCCCGACTGCCCCGGACGACCCAGCCAGACCCGTGGGCCGACCAGCGCATCCCAGGGAGATCAGTGCTGACGGCTGGTCCGGGCAACAGCAGGAGGGAAGCAGGGTGTGCTCTGGGGACCTGGAGGTGGAGATCAGGCAGCCCGAGGACAACTCTGGAAGCAGCTCTGGTCTCAGAAGGGCTTGTACCTGATGCCCCTGACACGTGACAGGAGGCTGGGCTGCCCAGGAGGTGGCGGCTGCAATGTAGGTGCCTTGTCCTCTACCCTGGCTGGAGCCAGTGACATCTGTTCCCTCCCACCCAGCTCCTTCTGAGCTGGGAGCAGGCCGGGCCCCAGGGCAGCTGAGCTGGGTCCAGTCCCCACCGCCCACCAGCAGGACCCCTGCTGTTCAGACTCGACCGCAGAGACGGAGATCGGAGAAGCCTCAGGCCGCTCAGGGCTGTTTCCTGATGGGGCCCGGGGAGAGGCTGAGACCGTGTGTCTGTACCCGCGGAGGACACCGACATGATGCCACACGCTCGAAACCCTAGAACTTACTGTGCCAGAGAGGAGAGGCCACAACAGCCCCTGGCGTTCAGAGGACTGGACCAAGGACCCCGATGTCCTGTTTCGTCTCACTCAGCCCCCACAGCCGCCATCCCGGACTAAGCCACTATCACGTTTCCCAGCACATAACTGGGGGACAGTTCCTGCCAACCCACCCACTCTAGACCCTGTGACTCGTCCTCCAGGGAAGTGTTTGGTGGAAGTCCCCGCCACAGTGGGACAGTCCCTCCTTGAAACACTCCTGCAGCCTCCAGACACTGTGGCCCACCTTGTGCGATCTCCTGGCCCCTCCGGCCTCGCCCTTCCACTCCACACAGGCCGCTGCTGTTCCCCACGCCCACCCTCATGTGCCTCTGTTCCTGCTAAGCACCCCACGGACCCGAGAGGAGTCACAGGGTCTAGAATGGGCGCATTGGCAGGAACTGCCCCCCCGCTGCGTGCTGGGAAACAGATGATAGTGGCTTAGTCCGGGATGGTGGCTGTGGGCCTGTCACCCTGGCTAGAATGCGGTGGTGTCATCATAGTTCACCCCAACCTCAAATTCCATGCCTCAAGCGATCCTCCTGCCTCAGCCTCCCCAGTAGCTGGGACTATAGGCGCATGCCACCACGCCTGGTTAATTTTTCTATTTTTAGTAGAGATGGGGTCTCGCTCTTGCTCAGGCTGGTCTCAAATGCCTGAGTTCAAACAATCCGCCCACCTCGGCCTCCCAGAGTGCTAGGATTACAGGCGTGAGCCACCGCGCCCGGCCTGATCCTTGCTCTTAATGCTCCAGGCTCTCGGCACAGGTGAGCGGGGCAGCTTGGGAAGCACCAGTTCCTCCCTCGCCTGGATTCTAAACAGAAGCTCACGTGTTAGGACTGGGCACAGCCCAGAGGCAACAGGTGTTGAGAGCCTGGGTCCTCACCCCAGCTGCGGCGCTCCCAGCCTCGCCACCTGGGCAGGACCCCCTCTTCACCAGGCCGGTGATAAGGATGGGACAAGAGTGACGCAGAGACTCGAGAGCTGGACGTTTCTCTGTTCTGTAAAGTATCCGTCACCCCCATGCTGCTGAGGCCTGGAGGCCCCGTCCCTTGGCTAGCCCCCGAAGCAGAGCTCGCAGTCAGTCCTGGCTGCTCAGGGCAGTAAGCGTGGCACGGGAAGGCCTCTTGGGACGGCCTGCCGGGCGGGCGGGGGGCCAGGCGGCAGCACACTCACCCTTTCCAAGTCCTGCCGCAGGTGCGTGAAGAGCCGCAGGCGGCGGTACAGGACGTCCTGCTCCTGCTGGGCCAGGTTGTCCACCTCGTCGGTCTTGGGGGTCAGCAGCGGCTGGTTGGCGTTGGCTTTCCTCTTCAGCTTCCAGTACTGGTAGACGAAGTCCACCAGTGCCTCGGCCAGGTCCAGCCGCTCGGCCACCTCGGCCGGCTCCACCAGCTCGTAGAAGTCCTCCTCCAGCTGCTGCAGCCGCTGCTTGCGCAGCGTCACCTTTTCCAGGTCCTCGCCAGCCTGGCTGGGCTCCGCAGGATCTGACGTGGGCTCACCCCTCGGGCCCCCGTCACTGTGCTCCTGGCAGAAGGACTTGAACTTGACCTCGTCGTTGTCTGCTAATATAGTCCGCATTTCCAGGCCGTGGTCAAAGGCGCATGTGACGTGGAACGCCGTGACGCAGGAAGGCATGGAGCACTGTAGGGAGAGGAAGGCGTCAGGAAGAAGCCCTGGTGGGAGGGGGGGAGCAAGAGGGGCTTCTCCCAGGGCTCCACTGAGAATGCAGAATGCTGGTGAGACCCTAAACCACACGGCACCGACTCCCAGCACCCTGCGCTGATGGGGAGGGTTACGGCAGGTGGGAAGGAGGGGCTCCGGGCACCTGGAGTGGAACAGATTCAACGCCTGTGCCCTGGGGGAGCCAACAATCAGAAGACGGCTGGGCCGCCCCTCTGGGGACAAGACGCATTTCTGCAAGGGCAAAACAACTTTGGGATCAAAAGGCATCGAAAGAAAGGCTGAAGACGGGGTCACCAACTTGTGTACTTCTGTAGCGTTACCTAAGATGGGGACTGCGTCCCTTTTGTCCTCTGGGAGAAGGGGCTGGGCTGGGACCCCTTCCTTCTCCTGTTACCCAGGCAGCCTCGGATGATGGCTGTGGGCAGCGGGTAACTTCTCAGCAACCACGCACCTAGCTATCAGTGACCATTTGTGCCGCACTCACAAACCCTTCTGAAGCCTGAAAAACGGGTGGAGGCACATCTTATGTTTGCAATGACAGCTCTTCCTGGAGAGGTGAGCAGGACAAAGGATGACCTCAACCCCCGCCTCCAAAACACAGACCAGAGCCATCATCGCCTGGGAGCTTGTTAGAAATACAAATGCTCAGCTCCACTCCAGACCTACTGAGTCAGAACCTCTGGGAGCGGGCCCAGCAAACTGCTTCACACGCCCTCCAGGTACTCCAGAGGCACACGGGACCCTGGGAACCACTGCTATAGACACATTAGCGCAGCCCTGTCCCGCGTCAGGAGAGCTGATTAGCTCAGTTGGAGGAGAAGTTTGATTCCTACCTACTCCCCACAAGAAGTCAAATTTAACGTCAGAAGTAAGGCCGATGTATTTATCGAGCCCAAAGACACCTGCTCTCAGAGATAGCCAGAGTTCTCAGCACTCTGATGGGGTGGTGAGCCCAGCTCCCAGGGCCTGTCCCCACTGCCTAGAGGACCTGGGGATGGAGCGAAGCCCCCACACCCCCACCAGGTGGGCAGGCGGAGGGTGCCGGCGGCACACCTCTCTGCGGCTGGCTCCTGGGCAGCAGAGGGGTGAAGTAGGTCGCGTACCTGGATGCAGGTGCCTGTGCACTCCTTGCAGAGGCTGCAGGACAGAGCCCAGCGGCTGGCTGGGATATGCGAGATCTTGGTGATGGGCTCCATCTTCTCCGGGCAGCCAATGCTGACCTGGGCAGGACACGGAGCTGCATCAGGCCTCTCGTCCCCAGCCTGCCCCCAGAGACGCCCCAAATGGGGGGCTGTCTGTTGAACCCGGGTGGTGGGCAGACAGGGCGGTGGCTGAGCCCTCGAATCCCAAGTCCTCCCTGACGCCACGCAAGCATGGCTCAAAGGTCCACATCCCTCCTGACTCTCCCAAGCCGACCAGTGGTTGAACGTGTGCTCATCCACGACTCAGACTATCTGTGAACGTGAGAGCGCGTGTCAGTGTGTAGAGATGAGTGCGTGCCCAGTGTGCACACACGTACATGGGTGTGTGCAAGGTCTCCCTCCTTTCTGCACCTCAGGCCTTTGTTAATAACATCTTCAGAGTTCTTGTTTTAACTTGTATTCATTTTATTTATTTTTCTGGGCACCAGGACAAAGCCTCATGGCAGCATCTCCTCTCGGGGGTCGTTAGGGCTCTCCTGGTCAAAGGGATGTGCCACTGCTCAGCTCCTTCTATGGGCACAGGCCTGCAACTGTGCCCACGTCTACCTGGCACAGCCCACCCTCGGGCCCAGAGACAGGGCACATTTGCCTCCTACCGCCCATGCCTGAGAAGGGAAACGGGTCCCCCCGCTCCACAGGTCCTGAGCCAAAGATCCTCGTGATGGGGTCCTGGTTGGTTCTGTCTCTGCTGTGACCAACCCAGGGCACACTCAGAGGTAGTCCCAGCCCTTGAGATGCTGATCTGGGAGCATGTGACCACTGCTGACATAAACGACTACCGTCACCAAAGCCTGCGATGTGGCCCCAGCAGGGACCTTCGCACTGTGTGCCCAGGAAGGAGAGGGCCCTGTTCCTTCTGGGCACAGGCAGCACTGCAGTGGGGCCTCCATCTGGGTCAGGGCACCCAGCACGGCTGGGGCCGAAACTGCAGTGAATTCCAGCATTTCACATTTCAAATAAAACGGACGGCCCCCTGGGAGAACAGGGCTTCTGCTGACTCACTCGCTGTGGACTCAGCCTGCCGCCCATGGCCCTCCCCTCCACCCCAGCCACGGCCATAGCAGCAGGCCCACTGCCCACCTTTGAAGTAGGCTTACCGCCTGATTTTCTTTCAGGTCAGTTGGTTTCTTTGTTCTCAACATGCAGCTTGACTTTGGTTGGAACCACTGCCTAGGTTTAGATGGACCCCACGACCCTGCAGCCGGCCGCCGGACTTCCATCCAGACCTACCTCCTCCGTACCCACTGGCCCGTAACCCCCTTTGCCCACAGAAGCCACTGCCTGAGCTCTGCCCAAGGTCCAAGGCAAAGTTCTCTGCGGGCTGCTACCTTCTTCCCTGCCCTGTCACCTGAGATCCCAGCGTGTCAATGTGGGCCCGTCGCCCTCTTTCCCCAGTGCTCAGACACCGAGTCCCATGCAGACCCGCTTCCCCATAGGCCAACCCCGGGGCCGCCACACCCCCAGTGCCTACCCACCTCCGGGATCCACAGGGCGCAGCTGACGTGCACCCACTTGGTCCCGCTTCTGGTGGGCTTCAAGGCTCCTCCTCGCTTGGGGCAGAGCAGGCACTTTGGCTGGACACCCAGGGCACACGTCCGGCACAGCCAGCTGCCCATGGGCACCTTGAGGATCCCGTAGCATGCCTGGGGGGACACAGGGTGGTGTGAGTCGGGGCACTGGCCACTGTGTCTGGTCAGCGGTCAGCTGCCAGGGGCCCCAGCCCCGGCCACACCGCTGTGCACCACCGTCTCCGGCCAGAAGGCCTCCTAAGGAGTCGTCAGGCAGGGAAGGGAAAGGCCTCGCCTGCTTGTGTGAGCGAAATGTCACCATTTCCCAGTCCTCTGTGACAGGGCTCAGGTCTGCCCTCTACTGGGAGGAGAGTCACTTTAGCCAGAGGTTCCTGCCAGCCATGGAACTCCAGAGGCTCCAGAGGCCCCTCAAAACGGATGCAAAATCGGGTACACACTTCCTGGGAACAAGGCCCAGAGCAGTCACCTTTGTCGCACAGGCATCCGTGAAGAGGGCTCCTCCCGGTCACGCCTCCAGCTCGGGAAAGGCACAGGGACCTACGAGCGGCTGGATACGAGGGACGCACGTGTATGCGGGGTGCACGGCCCACCCAGGAGGCTGCAATGCCAGGCTAGGGGAGCCTCTGCCACCGAGCTCCCGAGGGGCTAGCCCAGCAACGGCGGTGAGGACAGCCTCAGGGTCAGGTCTTCTGCAAGCAAGGCCCAGAGACACCCAAGACCTAGAGCCTTAATCCAGAGGGGGCCTGGCCGGGCTGCCGCTGGTCTACAAACCATCCCAGTAATGGTAACAAACGCTTCCAGCCCTTATCGTACTGTGTTAAGCAGAGAACTCATAGTAAACAACTTAATCCTCACGACGATTCACTTTTATTTATAGTGAAGAAACAGAGGCCCAAAGAAGTTAAACAGCCCAAAGTCACACAGCCCATGCGGGGCAGAGCCACGATTCAAGCCCAGGCAGCCTGGCTCCGGGCTTTGCTCTCGGTCACTGCCCTGTGCTGCCTCTTCGTCCGTTCTGGACGCGAGGAGAGGAGGCAGCGCAGGGGGGCGGGTGCTCGTGGTGGGAGTCTGACGAGAGGACAGAAAGACCACCCAATGGGCATTTGCTCACGTCTGGCTGGCAGGGCTGAGCCACGGGGCCCTGGGCGTCCCTGGCACCACAGGGCACTCACGCCGTTCCCTTCCTCCCCGTCTCCCTCCTTTGGGCCTCTGCCCACGGCGCCCGTGCTCCCACAGCCGGGATGACCTGCCTCGCGCAGGGTCTGCAGGCAGCAAGCGCGCAGCGTGGGTGAGGGTGACCGGGGGCTGCCCACCTGGTGCACACAGACGTTGCACTTGTCACAGAAGACCATCTCGTTGCCATCCTCGCCCTCGGGAGAGCGGCACACGTCACAGACAACGTCCTCGTCATACTCGATGCCCAGCCCCTCCTGCGTCTCGATGGCCCGGGCCATGTTCTGGTGGCACAGAGTCTCCAGCTCCTCCAGCACACGCTCCAGCGTCAGCTCGTCCAGCTCCGGCCTCTCTGCGGGGGAGACAGAGGGATGGTAGGAGCTCGGACGAGGACGCGGCCCCTGGGCTGCGGGAACTCAGGGCAGGGGTGTGGGAGAGTTTCTGTCCACCCACTGCGTGGCCTGGGGAGAGGCACCCACTGCCTGGGCCTCAGCTCCAGCCTCTGAAAACTGGGTCATTCAGCCTCAAAGGCCCTGACCTGTTGTGGGGTTCTGACTTCAGACGGCCTGCCTGTGACCACAGGGACACCTGTGTGTGCAGATAACCCGGAAATGTCTCTGGGATGCGTCGGCTCCGTGGGGCATCGACTGCTTGTGCTGGGTTGGGGCGCCTCCGAGGGTGGCTGAATATGGCAAAGCCGGCCGTCCCGGGACGTGTGAGTGAGCTCCGGCAGGCCCATATCTGCTGACCCCGGCCCCATTTGTCACCCTAGACGCACCTGTGTGCTCACTCATTCTCCACGTAACACTCGCGCTGACTACGACAGGCCGAAGATCCCTGTAAATCACGCGCTATGGCTGCCCCCACCTGACAGCTGGAGACACTTCAGGAGGCAGAGACACTAACGAGTGACTTCACCAGTCAGTAGTGCAGTGGGGACGCTCCTCCCAGGGCCATGCAGCACCCGAGCCCGGTCTCGGCCACTGCCCTTCCGCGGGTGACGAAGCCGGGGGTGGGAAGAAGCGCCCCTTGCCCTGCCTGATCCCACTGTTAGCACAGGGGGGTCACCTACCCATCTCCTTGAGCTCCGAGTTGATGAGCTCCAGCCAGTAGGCGTCGATCTCGTCCAGGTCATAGCGGCTGCCCCCTGGCCAGTCAGGCTGGGAGCCCTCGCCAAGCACAGAGCCACTCGGGGACACCTGGGTAGGGGGGCCTTCCAGCGGCGGGAGGATCCTAGGGGATCAAGAGGGGGTGTCGTGAAGAGAGGGCCCTCAGCCTGCCACCGTAGGGGCCCCAGGGAGTTGGCCAGCCCAGCGGAGGAGCTGGTGGGCAGGTGTGAGACTTTGATTCCAAGCACGGCCCCCTCCTGCCACCCTCCTTCCCTTCCTCCTCCACCATTGCCCACCCTGCGAGACACAGATGACGGTGGGTAAAAAGTCTGCGCACAGAAGACCCCTGTGAAGGGAAGGACAAGTGGTCAAACTCCAGGCTGGGGAGGGGCCGGGGACGGTCCACACACCTTCCCAAGCCCTGGCCCCTCCTCACCAGCAGCCTTGAAAACCCCTCGGCCTTGAGGGGAGCTAAGACCACGTCTCCTCTGGGGTCAGCAGGAGCCCTGCCAGGTTACACTGCTATGGCCCAGGGTGACCCTTTGCAGACAAAAGGTCCACTGCCGCAGGGACACAGTGCTGCCCACAGACCCTGTCCTTCTCCCAGATACTGTCACCTGGGCAGGGCTACACCCTTACCTCCCAAACCGAGATGCAGGCCAAACCCCCTGGACACAAAGACGCGCCTGCCACAGTCCCAGGGCCACCTCAGCTCTGCCCCTGAGGCAGCTTGGAAGGGCCCTGGCTGCGGGGCGTGGACCCCAAGCCCAGTTCCACCACCGACTGTGACACTCTGGGTGTCCCACTTCACCTCTGTGCCCTGGCGTCCTCTCCTCCAAAACGGGCTAGTAGTTAAAATCCTACCTCGTGTGGCTGGTGAGAGGGATTTAATCCTCTCACTGATGCCTGTAAAGCTCTTAGAAAAGTGCCCGGCACACGGGAACCACTGTGCGTGCGTGTGTGCACGCGTGTGTGCGTGTGTGTATGTGTGTGCACTTGCATACGTGTATTTTGAGACTGCCGGAGATCACCTTTCTCCCAAAATGGAACCCAGGGGGCATTCTGCCTTGGCTCAGCTGTGCTGCCCCTCAGCTCCTGATACCAGTTAAAAGTGCCAGCTCTTCCCACCCCCCACTGGTTGCCATGGTTATTGCTTCGGAGCCTGGCCTCCTCCAGCCAGCACTGCAGGGCTGAGGCCCCTCACCTGCCCCAGAGGCCTCCTGGGGTCAGAGGCAGAGCTGCCGGGGCTGTGACTCAGCGGTGACCAGGAAGGGAAGGACAGCGCCCTAGGTGGCACAGAGACGTGGCTGAGCTGCAGGGGGGGCTCCTGGGCTCCCCAGGTGTGTGAGCAACAGGGGCAGGAAGGATGAAGGAGACGGGAGGCAGGGGGTGAAGGAGGGAGAGAAAATGGCCTCCAGGCCTGGCTACAGCGGAGGAGGCAGGAGAAAGGGAAGCGTTTGCGACCGCCTTATCTCACACAGAGGCCCAGGTTAAGGAAGGTCCCGGGGAAGGATAATGTCTGCCTCCCGCACCAGGAGACGATTCCAAATAGAGGCAATACCGATACTCTTCAGTCCAACAAAATTCTGCCTTTCCCCATGAAACTGTTACTTGAATTAAAGCATTCTTTAAAAAAAATGCAGCCTGTAATTTGGCTGTGACCTGGCTTTGTTTGTGCCCTAAGCATGTGCTGAGTGGGGGTTTTGGGCAACCTTTGTTTGAATGCCCACCCCTACCAGCATGGCATAACTACCCACACCTGCTTGCCTCGTCAGCTGCCACCTGGCCGGCCCCTTGAGGCCAAGATCACTGTCCCCTTTCTGGGGAGCCGGGGTTTAGGGACTCACGGGAAAGGCGTTTTCTGTGCTTCCTGGGTCTCTCATCTTCACCTGTTTGCTCCCTCTGGCTCCGGCTAGGGAGTGAAGTTTTCCCACCAGGCATGGGCTGACCTGACCCCAGGCCAAGGCCTCAGGCGTAGCCGCAGCCAGCAGGACCGAGGTCAGCTGGGAGGAGGAGGGCAGCTGGGCTGAGATCTATGGGAGGGGAAGGGCTCCATCCGGGAAGAGCAGACACCAGAGGCTGGTTTTGCCCTGGGCTGAGACTTCTGGCCGCACTGAGGGGGCACGGAGGGTCCTCATTCAATTCCCAGTCTGGAGGGGGAGACAGGTTCTCATTGCTCAGCGAGATTTCAGAGCAGCAGGAGGGGAGACCTGCCCAAAGGCCACGGACGGGGGGACAGAGGGGAACCAGGCAGCGTTGGGGAAGGACAGTCAGAGCCGGCATGCCAGGGTGACGGGGCGCGAGGCTCTCTCTTGGGGCCTCACAGGGGCAACCCAGAGCTTGTTCCTGTGGCCTGTGATTTCCTGGCCCAGCCCCCTCAGCCCTGTGGCTACGCAGGGAATTCCCCAGAATTTCCCGACTTCCTCATCTATAAAACGGGGACAGTAACGTGTACTTTATAAGGCTAACACGATCATTAAGTGAGAGACGAGCATAATAGGCTGGACACAGCGAGTGCTCAGGAGCAGGTGCCTCGAATAGTCCCGACCTGGTGGAGGCTGTGCAGGCTTCCGGAGCCGGCTGCCCGGTGGGAGGGCCCGGGCCGTGCACCGGGGAAGAAGAGGCTCAGAGATCTCTGAGAGCCCCTTCCCAGCCCCCGGTCTGTCCTCTCCAAAGAGCACGGGCAGGCCGGGGGCGCCTGGCTCACGTCAGCTCAGCGCAGCCACGCTATGCTGGGAATGCACCTACGAAGCCAAAGCAGCCTGAACACGTGCTTCCCCCTTGATGTCAACAGATAAAGCGCCCTACGGGCAGACTGAAGCCAAGCTACTGGTGTTGGAACATCTGCAATTAATTACCCAGGCCAGTGGACGTTTCCGGAACCACCTGACACTGACAGCAAGTAGAGAGGACAGACTGCTGGGCCAAGCCTCATCAGGACTCACCTCGCTCTGCTCAGCTGGGGGCCTGCCCTTCCCCCGTCACCCTGGGCCCTGGCACCCGCGGCGGTGACCTGGCACACATATTCTCTCTTAATCCTTAACCTCACCACACACGGTCAGGCGGTTACGGTGTTATCCCCATTTTACAGAGGCGCAAACAGGCAAACAGAGGTCAAGTAACAGTTCTTTTAGTTTGCAGAGGCGAGGGTGTAAAACTTGCTAGGAGCCTGACCGGTTTCTGGCCCTGGACAGGGGATGTGGAGAATGAATCATGTTCTAAATCCTGCATATACTCCCAATAATGTGCCCAAGCCTTCTGGGGAGCCTGGGGCACCCCTCATTCTTGGAAGGCCCAGAGTGCCAGCAAGTGTTGGTAGGCACTCGGCCCTCTGGAGTCACTGGAGGACTGGCCCTCCCCAATCCCCAAAGAGCACCAGTCACGGGTGCAGCTGCCAGGAAGCGCCAGTGCCGACGTCAAGGCAGGGGACAGCTGTGCGCTTTGCCCCAGGCCTGATCTACACGGGCCCAAGCATGAGCCACGAGGCTGCCAAGTCTGGGCGTGGACCGCCAATGACCCGAGCTGTCCAGACGAGGAGGGCTGGTCAGTGGGGGAAGCCAGGACATGGGACCCCTCTGTCCTGAGACGTGACTTGGAGGGTTTCCCAGAGTGTGTAAAGAAGCACTTGGCTGAACTCTGTAGCTGGAGGCAAGACCCTCGGCCATGTGGCTGCCTCCGAACGAGAGCAGCCGGGGTCTCTCTGCCCCGTGAGATCAGAAGGCTGTGGAGCCCGGAGAGGACGCGTCTCCGACCCAGCCCTGGCAGGAGAGCCCCCTCGCAGGCTGGGGGCGGCAGCTGCTTCCGGAGCATCTCCTGTGTGCCAGGCACTGGACTCCCCCGCAAAGGACTCTTTTTAAGGTTCAGGAACTCAGGAGCATGGCTTACCCCTGTCTTAAAGACTAGTTAAAACTCTCGAGATCTCCCTGATCAGATCGACATCCACATAACCACGGCCAGTCTTTGTGGAGTGCTCGCTGCTCGCTGCGCGCCAGGCCCCGGGCTGGGAGCCTTCCACGCGTCACTTCACTACACCACCCAACGCCACCACTGCATGAGGCGCATTAGTTATTATCATCATTCCCATTTCACAGACAAGAAAACCGAGGCCCAGAGACATGACACTTCTGGTCCACGGTCACACTGAAAGCAAGTGGCAATCTGAACCCAAGCATTCTGGCTCTAGAGCAAAACCCAAGCCCTCAGCCTCCTGGGTGAACTGCCAGTATTTCTGGAACTTTTCAACAGTTTATCAGACGAGAGAATCGAATGCAGAATAGAGATGGGCAGAAAGGAATCCCAGGACTGGTAGGTCCCTCACCTGGAAGGCAGCCTCCCCTTCCTCCCCGGCCCCGACGGCCCCTCGCCCGGGCCGCCTGGCTCACCTCACCACGGGCTCCGGGATGGCCTCGGCCCCGGCGGGCACCTGCACACCTTTCTCCCACTCCTGTCGCCATGGGTCCGCCAGGATGTAGTAGTCATCTGGGCTGAGCTGGTACGAGTCTGGGATCTTCATGGCAGTGATCAAGTCTGTCCGGAAAACCTGGCAGGAGCGAGAGGGGAGAAACGGCTTCAGACTGGCCCAGGGCGAATGCATGCACCGCGGCAGGCTCTGGCCTGCGCACTTGAGGAGACAACATAGAGGCCACGACGGTAATTAGCAACACATCTTCCCGGAACCAGCACGTGCTTCGCACAAGCAGATGTTTCATACATGTGAGGAACTGGATTCACATTGCTCTGACTTACTGAAGGACAGAGTTTGAGTGACAGATGGAGTGGACCTAAGAGACAAGGAGAAAGACGTGTAGAGGAAAGAACAAAACAAAAAAAACAGCAAAAACTCATAGGGCAGCACGGCTTCTTCTGCTTAAGCAACACTGCCATTACGTGACCGTTCAGGGAGTCTCCGCTGGGGGTTGCAGTCGCGTTACCTGTTCGCACCCACAGGCACAAGCAAAGGCACGAAACAGCACAGGGCACCAACGCAAGGAAAACGAGAGGCCAGGACCTTCCGCCAACAGCCGAGGGATGGCTGGGCTTGGGGCAGCCTAGAGAGTGGCTTGGCCTGAGTCAGGACCTGCAAGGTCCCTCAAGAACAAGGACACTCTGTCTTCTACCTGGGCAGGGGCTCTACGTGACCACACTCCGAGTGCGATGGCGCAGGAGGACAGGGTTGTCCTCCTTCTTAGTCGAGCCCATCCACGTCTCAGAGCCAGGCCGTGAGTGGTCACACCGCGATGCTTTTGTTTTCCTTCCGAGGACCCGCTCGCTCGGGGCCAACTGCTTCCCCAGGTTCTGTCTCCTGCCCCCACCTCTGCCCAGAACGCTCTGTGAACCCCGTCCTGGCCAGCACTGACAACGCCTCCTGCCCCGGTCGCCTGATCTCACCGTGACCCCCGCAAGTGCTGCTGTGGGATGTGGTGGCACCTCTGGACACCATGTGACTTGCTCGGGTCCCAACCTTCCCAGCGATCATCACTTGAGAGTCACAAGTTGAAGAACTCGCGTCGCTGAGACGAAAGAAACCACTTCAAGGAGGACTTGAGGCCTCCGACCAAACTCGGAACCTAACCCTCCCCCAGAAGTCAGCACGCACAGCTGTGCCCGGGCCTGCGTCAGCTCACTACAGACCGGCTCACGGTCACCTCCGCGGCCAGGGGCCCAGTCACTGGCTGTGTGTGCCTCGTGTGAATCCAGGTCCACAACCACGAGGAACACGCCGAGATGGGCGCCGAGGGGCCCAGAAGCAGCATCTTGCAGAGTCTAATTAACGTCTGCGTCTAGCTGGAGACAGCCCTGGCTTGAAAAAGGTCAAGTTTCTTGAAGACTCTATTTGCCAATATAATTTAATTGTTAGGACTAACACCCTAACATTTAATTAGGGTGCCGGTGTAAAAAAATTAAAATCAGATTACAATTAAATGCTAATTAAACAGAAGATGGAATGTGGCTAAGATTTCACAGCCCTGATCATTTGCATATCTTATTAGCAAGGAGTAAGAAAGCTAATGCAAGAGCATACATTCCGGCCCTGGGTGCTTTCGGGGGGCTCTTCAGTAGCCCCCCTTTGTTGGCTGGAGCCTTTCCCCACGGAGGCCTCTGGAGACTCTGCCAAGCCCAGCAGGGCTGGATGACATCATTATGGGCCCCAGCAGGGTGAACTGCCCCCAAAGTGCTCCCAACCCAAGCAAGCCGAGTGTCACGACATCCCAAAGCCCTGTTGTGCTGATGCCTCGGGGAATCAGACATGTGGGACACCCCATCATCCTGCCCCAGAAATCAAACCTACGAGAGACCAGTGTCACCGTGTGCCCTCTGAAGGCACAAGCGGGCTGGAAACCTCTTGCTCTTCCCTTATCTGGGGCTGTAACTTAACTGTCACCCCCTCAGGGATTCCTTCCTACTCACCAGCTCGGGGAGTGCCAACTGCCCGACTGAGCCACTTCTCATCCCAGCCTTTCTTCCCAGCACTTAAACTCCTGGAAAGTATCTGGTTGACTCACAGCGCTTGTGTTTTTATCTCTCCGCGGCCACACCTGTCCTGCTGCCGGCTATATTCTCAGTGCCTGGCACTGAACAAAAGGGCCTCCCTGGGGAATGATCTGATGGGTCTGAGGCCCCTGGCTGGCTCCTGGCAGAGTTTTCTGAACCCCCATGAATGGAGTGAGATACCTCTTGGATACACCCACAGGCTGAAATCCCCAACCACATGGACCCGAATGAGGGGCCCTGAGCAGCAGGCAGCCTCTGCTCTGCCAGGCTTGAAGCCCAAGGACCAGCACTCAGTCCAATCCAGAGTTGGAGTGCCACACCAGCTGGGGAGAGGTGGCCCTGACCCAGGACCAGGCTTGGCATGGAGAACTCAGAGCAGGAAAGGGTCCCGGGCTCTACTTGAGAGTCCCTTCCCACTGCAGTCAGGGAGACACGGGAAAGACAGAAGAGTCTGGTTCCACGAGAGGTCCACGTTTCATCCTGGGTTAGGGTTAGGTCGCTCAGGGAGCAGGTGGCACACTGGACCCTCGTGGCCCTTCCAGGCAGTACGCCCGGAAACACAGGAGGGCAGCACTGTCAGAGGGCATCAGCCGACATGTAGAGCACACCGTGTGCAGAGTGACAGTCTCAGGGCTATTCCTGAGTTAGTCTGTCATTAGCCCCTGTGCAAACGCTGCGAGGTAGGTACTGCCCTCATCCCTGTTTTAGAGAAGCCTGGGATTCCGGTTAGTTAAATAACCTACCCAAGGTCTGCATGTTGGAAGTGACAAAGGAACCCAGGCCGAGACACCTCCTGAGCCACCCAGCACTCTCCGCAGCCCCTTTCGACATATGCTCCCTGCCCAGTGCCCTGGAGTTCCCTAGAAGGCAAATCAGATGGTTTCCCCAAGGGCTAGAATATGCAAATCTGACTGTGGCCTTTGCAAGTTCCAAGCCCTCCAATGGCTCTCCACTGTCCTCCCACCACGCTCAGACTGAGCTGCAGAGCTGATGAGGCCCTGCGGCCACACGGATGCACTTCCGGTCCCCAAGCACTTTTTACCATCCGCCCACGGGAGGACCCTGCCTGGGACACTCCTCCCTCGCCAAAGTGGGGCTGGCCTACTGCATCCTTGAGGTCTTGGTCCATCCCACAGCTGTTCTGGGAAGCCTTCCCCAGTCCCAGGCTGGGATTGGGCTTTGTCTGAACGTCCACAGCCCCTGTATCAGAATCTCTTGGTTTCTTGTCATCTTCTCCACTAGAAGGTGAGCTCAGTGACATCTGGCTGGGCCACAGGGTTGGAGCCCAGCAGCGCAAGCAGGGCCTGGCACATGCTAGGTGCTAACAAATGTTGAATGACTCAAGATCCTTCCATGGATCAACCACCACCTTCCTTGGTTGCTGTCCAAACCAACAGCTGGGCAGCTGGGTACTCTGAGCCTTCCAAAGGAGCCTCTGTACATTTATATAAAACTGTCCATAAATACAGCAGCCCAGCTGTAACCTGAACATCTTCTTGTTTGGAATTGTCAGAGGTTTAGGCTTGGAAATGGCCCAATTATTTTCTTAAATAATGTCTTAGAATGACTTATGAAAATTAAATAAAAAATTAAATGGACACCGATGAACAAGAAACCTTGCTGTGGCAAGAAAGTTGGAAGCTGAAAAATAATCAATTTTCTTAGAATGTGAATGTTTACTATTTTTCTCTCTTTTGGCAGAAATTGACAAATTGTCTTTAAAGGTCTGCTGCCTAGCAACCAAGTTCTTCTGAGCTGCTTGGAGATGTTAATTGTAGCTTCTTCAAAGAGTATGAGGAATGTTTAGAGGCCTGAAACTCTAATAACCAATCTGAGTGCCAGGGGTGCCAATGTAGCCCTGGAGGGCGTTGAAGAGCCCGCTCTGCCCAGATGTGAGGACGCTGCTCCAGGAACACAAAACATGGCTTTGCCCTCCCGTTCCTTTCCTGAGACTGAGGATCACAGCCTTTCAGAAGTCTAACCTTCTGCACCTAATTCCCAGGAATAACTAAAAACAGGCTCTGCAAGAAAGTGTCCGTGGAGGCTGAGCGACCTCCGAAAGCAAATAAAGGTAATGACAACAGGCAACTTCCGCTGTGCACCGACCACACAGCACCACGCTAAGAGTTTAGTACCTGATCGCAGGATTTGTAGATGTTACTTGAACATTTCATCCTGGGACCCTGCATGTCTGCTTTCTTTTCTCAAGGGGTGGATTACTATATCGCAGAAGAGTTCAGACTAAGAGGCACCAAGAGGAAGTTTAGTTACTTAAGGAAAAGCTCCAGCAGTTATCACACAATTACAGAATAGAATTATTTGTGTAATTACTTGTTTAATGTCTATCTCCTCTAATGGTCAAGCTGCGAGACAACAGACTGCACGTGTCCTGCTTGTCACTGTGCCCGTTTTTGGCATAGTGCTTGGCACGCAGCGGGTGCTCAAGAAATGCTCGTAGAATGAGTGAATGCAGGAATGAATGAATGGACCCCAGGATTTGTCTGAAGGACTAAACTCTAAAACTTCCTGTCCTGTCTCAGCAGGAGGGTGGAGGCAGGAGGCTGGCCCAAAGGATTCTTCCAGGTGGAATTGAAAACCTGGTCTTGGGCACTGACCCAAAGCCAGTGAAAACCGCTTTGGCCAGGACTGTCTCTCCTCGACCTCTGTCCACACTGAGAGTCCCAGTGTAGAGCTCAAAGTGGCCTTTTCCCCTCCAACCCTCAAGGAATGTTTTAAGGTCTTTACTGCAAGAGTCAACCTCATCAGATTCATTTCTGAGCACCTCGTCTCATCGGAAACAACAGCAAATAAAGAAAAGTAACTCCCCTGCTAAGGCATTCTAGGTATTGTGTGTTCAATACTTTACGTACATTTCTTCACCTAATTCACACTGCCCCATTTCACAGATGTGGACGCTGAGCTGCAGAGAGGTTAAACCACTTGTTTGAGGTCTGCGCTTACTGCCTGCAAACTAGCCAGGTAGTTCTCTTAAAACGTCTTTCCTGGGCTGGAACCTGTTAAAGAGCGTCTCAGCCAAGAGCAAACTTA